CCCCAAAACCCCAAAACCCCAAAACCCCTTTACTAATAAAATTATCTAAAATAAATAACTATAATATTTATAAGGCGAAAAGGGAAATAGATGAACCCGAAATCGGTTTTAATGCATAAATCTGTACCTAATTTGCCAACAGGTAGGATCTTGAAGACCCTTTGGTTAAGGAGAGAGGGTCTTAGACTTGTTTTGGAGGGGTTTGAGGGAGTTTTGGGGATTTTGAGGGTTTGGGATTTTTTTATGATGGTTTATAGCCAGTGAGGTTGGAGTAAAGAAAATTAAAAAAGGCAAAAATGATGAGAAGAGTAAGGAATAGAGGGTTTTGGAGGCATTTTGAGTGTTTAGAAATGAAATTTGGACCTAGGAGTGGGGTTTTGTTGAAATAGGGAGAAAGAGTTATAAGAAAATATAGCTATGAGATCAAATTTCAGAAGAGATGAATGGCTTGAACAAGTAGCACAAAGCCCTGAATTTGCTAAATATTTTCATGGAGGAGCTATCCCAATGGTCCATCCAGATTTATTGGACTTTCGTCCACAAGACGAGGCAAATAACGCTTTCAAAAAGCGCAATTATATCCCTGAAAGACAGAGAGCTTTAAACGCTTCGACGAATTACAAATCCTTGCATGTTGTGGAAGGAGAGAAATTCAATGACAGAGATCCTAACAAAAAGAATGATTTTAGACCAGTTGACAAGAAGAAGTTGCTGAATCCTCCTCTAAAATATACAACTTCATCAACCAAAAATAGAGTTGCTGAAACTATTTCTGAAAATTGCAGATATTCTTTGGAGCCAGCTAATGAAAAGATGCGCTCAGATCCTCAATTCCGCAAGAATCATCGTGAGAAATGGATGTCAAAGAAGGATTTTATTATGGGATATAAGAACAAAACAATCCAGCCTCGAAAGAACTTTGATGATAAAACCTCTGATCCTTTTATGGGTGGCAAGGAGAAGGTCATCGCTATGACTAGTAGGCCACTTAACAAGACCAAGAACATCAGTGATGTAGAGTTTTCATCAGTAATCTCCAAAAATCCTTCACAGCATAATACTATCAATAACTCCTCGCTCAGGTCACTTGCAAGTATAATGAAGTTGAAGAACACTGGATTTGCAGGTGATATAACCGAATATACTAAACCAAAATTTTCATTGAACATTTCCAAATCTGTGCCTAAACTTGTTGAAATCAACCGTAATACAGAAGATACAGTCCAAGAGATTCTTGCTGATTTTGGACATTTGCCAACGAAATCCTTCAAGGTCCGGTCTCAATTAAAAGGGACTCAGAACCGTAGATACAAGGTAGAGAAAGAGATCGATGATAAAGATATTATGGAGATGATCATTAACAACAGAAAATTATATCATATGTCTGCCTACAAGGTTGTGAGCAAGCCCGACATCGTCCTGAGAAATCAGAAGAAAGTCAAGAAGATTCACAGTAGTAAGAAGGAGGGAAAGAAATTACTCGATGAAGAGGACAGATCTCCTGGTCCAATAGATCAGAATCTGATTAAACCTAGTAATGCTGAAATGAGAGAAACAGTCCCTGTTTCAATTTCAAAACCTGTGTTTAATCATAGGAGATTATCTATGCAGGAGAACGCTCATGATGATGAGCTCAAGACTGATTTTGAACGCAGGAGTTTTCATAAAAAGAAAGCTTCCCAAGAAGTAAGTTGCAATGACTCACATTCTAGCTAAAGTTTCCAGAAATTAAAATCAAAGGGACAAATTTTAACGATCGAATTATCAATGATATTGATCTTGCGACTGGGTTTAACGACTTCTTGAACAGAGTCGAGAATGATCCCATTGAGGTAGAGTCAGCAAGGAACCTTGATAGGGGACAAGCTTTCAAGAGAGAATCTTCAAAATTCAACACAGGTTCTGTGAGGAGACACTCTCCACCGAACAGTGGTCGTGAATTAGGAGCAAATGATTCGTTTGAGGAGAGGTTTGCTAGCCATCTTGCTAACAATGAAGATAACAAATCGTTTCTGAAATCTGTCCATACAAATCTTGATGATAGTGAGTGAATGAATGGGCATACAATGAACATGAATTCTATGACCTTGACTGATATTCTCAGAGATCCAGGAAATAAGAAGGTCAAAATTTTAGAAAAAATGTATAAAAATCCAAGTATGAAGCCAGAAGGAATCAAGAAGCTGGTAGATGATTATTTTACAAAATAATCATGGTTCAATTTCTAGAAAGTTGTTTGGGGTTTTGGGGTTTTGGGGTTTTGGGGTTTTGGGG